TCGCTGCCTGACTCTAGCCCCGCTGCTCCAGGAAAGCCCTCGCAGCTGGGCCTTCCGGAGGGCTGTTGGAGAAGGAGCTGGTCCAAATGGCACACTGGGAAGCTGCAGATATGCTTCCCATCTCCAGGCACCGCACAGCCGTCCTTCTATGATCCATGCAGGGCTCATCCAGGAAATGGAGGCGTTTTGAGGGATGGTTCTTCTGTGACAGCCTTAGCCTTATCCCTCCCCGACTCGGTGTTTTCCCTGGCTTCTTTGGAGCACTTTGATTTGAGCTACAGTTTTTGTGGTGTTCAGCAAAGACGTTGATTGAACCCATGCAGCAGGGCCAGGTTGGGAGACAGCCGTGGGAAAAGGGACTGGGGACCTGGTGTGTGGCTGGCAGACTGAGGGATGTGGTTCTTCCCCAGCACTCGGCACTTACTGTGCTGCCACATGTGGATTTCCGTGGTCAATTTTGGGCTCCTCTCTCTAGGAGGCACAAGGATAGACCAGAACAATTATGGGAGGGGTTGCTCGGAAGGTTGGATTCCATGAGAGTCGGCTCGGCCTGGAGAAAGGAAGGTGAAGAGGGGTAGCTGGTGCTCTCATCAGCTATCCGGAGGGAGTTTCAGGAAAGATTTTGACAGGCATTTCTCAAAAGATCACGTAGTGAAAGGACGAGCGGTGATGGACACAAGTGGCCACACAGGAGATTCCTACTGTTTGTAAGAACAAATCTCCTCCCCGTGAGGGTGGTCAGGCACAGGCACCAGGACTAGAGAATTAGGGGGTCTCCATCGTTGCAGATGCTCAAAACTTGACTAACCCCAACCTAGGTTAAAAGCAGGCCCTGATTGGGGTGGTTGGGCCCTTCCTATGGGCCAACATCCTGGTTGCTCCTGGTCCAGCGCTGAGCTTCAGCCCTGGTTATTAATCCCCATCCCCAGCAGAGAGCTGCAAAAAACGGGAGGCAGCAAGAGTCCCCCTTTGGAGAGGAAAAATTAACACTAATTAACAGAATATTAGTGAACATTTTAAATGGCCTTTGGGGCAGACCTGGTGGTCTAAGAATGAACATTAGAGCTTAAATTTCTTCCTCTTCTTGATTTTTTTTCCACTTTTTTCTTACTTCCCAGCTACTGAAGGACTATGGACCCTACCACCATTCTAGCCCTGACAGTGCTCAGTCAGGGAAATACATGGAAAAATCACTATTTGTGGGTAGAGCTGTGCAGACCAGGGGGAGGAAAGCAGCGCAGGGGTGACCTCTTCCTAGCAATGGAGGGGGACCTGGCTGTTCCAGAGGTTTTGTATCGTCAGGTCAACTCATCTCCATGTCCAGTGATCTCATGGCAAGCTGAGCTCACCAATGCCGTGCTCAGGGCCCTGCCTTTGTCTCCCCAGACTCCACCAAGAAGCTCAAGGACGTCCTGGAGGAGTTCCATGGGGACGGCGTCCTTGCCAGGTACAACCCAGAGCAGGTAAGGCGCTTTCTTCTCCAGCTTCTCCTTTGCCTCCTCAGCCGCATCACAAGAGCAGATGCTCCTGGGAGCCTCCTGCTTCCCCCAAGCCAGCCCAGCTCCTGGAGATAAAAGCACCCCGAGAAGGCAGGTCTTACCCCAGCAACCTGTCTGTCTGCTGCCCAGCCTCTCCCCGGGGCTCTGTGTTGCCCCAAGGCTGGGGAAGACGCTCCTCCACACCATGTTAGAGACTCAGCAGCACCTCCACAGCCAAACTCCTCCCCGGCCACCCCACTGATGTGGCGATGCCAAACAGGGCTTGCCCTGTGTTTTGGGGAGGGAGGTTGAAGCATCCCGGCGAGCAGCCTCCTCTCCCACTTCCACGTGGGCTCCAACCCATCCGGGACTGCAGTCCTGGCGAACCCCAGTGTGCTGGAGACCCCTGAGCCGTTTTGCCACCCTGTATCCCTCTGAGCATTTTGGAGCCTCTCTTTGCCAGGAAGGGGGCATCATCTCTTGTTCCTTAGCAAGAGCTACCTCTTTGCTCCCCCAAGAGCATCTTTGCTTCCCCCAAAGCAAGTTCTTTTGGCATTTCCAAAGTGGGGATGTGGGCAGGCTCCGTTCCTTGTAGCCCTCGCCGAAGGAAAGCTAGGGTTATTTTTTTTTCCTAATCGGTGCTTTTTAGAGAGACCTATTAGAGTGCCAGCACGACAGAGCCTTTCACCAGGGCCCTAATCACTAGAAACGAGGTGAAACGGGAAAAATCAGTGGGCTGTAGCCAGGAAGGAGGGGCAGCCAAAGCTCCCCGACTATTCAAGTGCACGGTGGGGTCCTGGCTGGAGGATGCCAGCTGGTGCTCTGAGGGATGTCGGGAAGGAGATTTCTTGATGCAGGAGGGAGCTGCGTGGGAAGGGGGAGAGCAGCAAAATCCGCAGTCGGAGCTGGGGCTTCAAGCGGGGGCAAGGAGGAGGCTGGGAGCCCTCGGGAGGACGATAGTCACGAGGCTTGAGGGGGGCTGGTGGGTCCCGCTGCTTCGTGGCCTTAACCCAGGACACGTCTCCTCCCTCTCTGCGGGGTCTGGATGCCTTCAAAGCCCGACTCAGTGCACGGCAGGAGCACATCCCGATTTCAGCTGGAGAGGGCTCTCGAGCTCCTGCATCCTTTCTCTTCTCCACCCCCAAAATAGCCTGATATGCCATATAAACACCTTTATTTTCTCCTTATTTTGCCATAAATCAATAACCATCAGCCCTCCTCAGTCAGTGGCCTTCAGCTTCAGAACCCCCAGGTCCATAAGGGGGCACCAAGACAAAACTCCGCGGGTGTCACAAGCCAGTGGGGGACCTGAGGCTGGTGGCCTCTCCTCCAGCCTCAGGAGGACTAAAGAGGGCCTGAGGCCTCCTTGTTGGGAGGACAGTGAAGGCTGTCCCATGCAGAGGGGAAGGGAGGAGGACCTGGCAGTGTCCCCGGGCATGCTGGTGGCTCTGCTGTCCTCCACCATCTCCTGATGCCCTCCTGCGTCTCCTCTGTCCCGCTCCCCAGCCTATCGACTATGAGGGCTTTTATCTCTTCATGAAGACCTACCTGGAGGTGGACGTGCCTGAGGAGCTCTGCCAACATCTCTTCATGTCCTTCAAGCGCAAGATAAGCCCAGCGTCCACCGAGGCCCAGCGCCAGAGCCCCGGTGTGTCACCACCCAACGCGCTGGGTGAGCATCACTGGGCATGTGGGCTGTCCCTGCTGCGTGCTCTGGTGGCCCTGCTGGGCCCCGTCACGGTCTGTGAGGTGCCACCACGGCGATGCAGGGCGCAGAGGGCACTGCGAGCTCAGGGCAGGGCCCTGGGGCTGGTGGCACCAGAGCCAGGCCCAAAGGGCACAGCCCAACGCTGTCCTGTCTCAAGTGCCTGCCACTGCTCACAGACAGGCTCCCTGGGCCTGGCTCCACCTGCTTCCATCCTCAAAAAGCTCCGCTGGGGAGGGCAGGACTTTGCCCAATGGAGGAAGGACTAAGGAGCTTCATTGCTTTTATCCCTCCATCTCCTCCACGTGTTCAGATCCAAAGTCGCTTAATGCCAGCATTTCCATCCAGACTGAGGTGGCCTGCGCCCTTGTCACGGGTACCCTATGCCGGTGGTGACTTGAGTGCCCATCTCCACCTAGGCCAGGGGACTCTTGCTAGGGCAAGCAGCCCACAGGGAAGCAGCTTGGGCTCCTAGTCCACAGGCTAACGCAGAGGACCGTGTCCTCCCAGCTTCAGGAATGAGTGGTGGTCCATGCCCAGAGGACATCGGTGCCACCAGGAACCGCTGGGACCAGGCAGGAGGGTGGGAGTCCCCTGGCAGAAGGGGTAGCAGAGAGAGCCTGCATTGCCGGGGGAAGGGACCTGTGGGGTGGTGTCACTCTGCCCCACGGGAGCATGTTGGCTTTGCAGGGATCAATGGGAAAACGCTTCTAAGCGCCTTGGGACGCCACACTCCTGAGGCCAAGAGCTCCCACGGCCATGCAGTGGAGCCACAGCCAGCATCCCTGACCCCAGCATCAATAGCCAATGCCTCTCCCAGCTGGTCCAGGTCATCCTCGCAGAAATCCACCGCCGGCACCCTATCTGCTCACAACTCCTCAGGGTCTTCCAAGATCTCCTCCGGCTCGCTGCTCAGCCCTCAGTCACCAGGTGAGCACGATGGGATGCGGCCCCTCGGGCTCCTCAGGCCTGCCAAAGGTTCCCTACCCTTTGGGAAGGGTATCCTGGGCAGTGTGAGCTTCCCGGGGTGCCCGTGTTAAGGCTGCTGGTTTTCCAAGCTGCTAAGAAGCAACTTGGCCCTCTCAGGTCCTTGGGGCAGCAGCAGTGACCTCTCCATGCGGTGGGCTCCTTGGCTTCTTGACACCTTTGCTCACGGCTCAAGCCAC